TTTCAACAAAAAAACATTCTTTATTTTTTTTCAACAAAAAATGAGATATTATCGTATAAAATTAAATAACTGAGATTTTTCTACTCAAAAAATAAATATTACCATTAAATCGTAAACTCATCAAAAATATTAAAATTTTATTGAAGATTTCTCATCGTAAAGCCAGAAATAAATAAATTGGGCTAGAAAATGTTAGATAATAGGAGGTTCACATGGTCCCCCTTGATATGTGTAGCTTCTTGAGGAAACAAGAATTAAAATAAAAGTAAATTACTTTCTATTCAAGTATAGATTGGTTAATTTTGTTGCAACTGTCCACAAAAACACACAAATCTGCTAACTTGTCCACAATGTTGATCATGTGAGACTTCTAAAGTTGTCTTCTGTTGAGAGGAGTCTGCTAGTTTGAGGCACTTGGTTCGTCAAGCTACTTGTGTTAGACTTGTGGTCCAAAGACCTATGGTTGGAAGACCTTGATTAACCAGTCAAAAGTGTAAAAAAGTTGTTGGTATATATTTTTATTAAACTAGTTTTTAGTGTAGTAATAAAACACTATTAAAAGAATTATATAATCTATTGATTTGGATAGAACTTACAAAAAACGAATTAAAACAAATATTCCTTTTCTTTCACTATCGGACGGTTTTGTCTATTATAAAATCTAAAAAAACATATAAAATACGTAATAATTTTGAAAAATAAGAAAAAAGAATATCAAAGTTCTTAGTTAGTTAGTTACGTACAAATGAGTCCCAAAAAAAAAATGCTAACTATGGATACTCACTATGTATTAGAAGACAGAGAAGTTAGTAAATAAAACTATAAAAGATATAGAAGTTAAAGTTATACTAATAATTAAATACTAATTATGTTTTAATATGGAAAAGACCAAACTTAAAAGCTAAAGTGATTGTTATAATATACTATAATATAACAAATAATAAACCAAATGTTAGTACAATATAAACGTTCCATAAGGTGGAATGAAAGCAAGAACAAAGACATTAGCGATAAATAAAATTGATCTCAGGATATTAGGGCTTATAAAACCATTATATATAGAAGCCGCTAAAATTTACGTATAATTTTTGGAAAGTTGAAATTAAAATTAAAATCCTCAAGCTATTAAATAGAAACAACATATTAGAAAATAACAAAAATGGACATTCGTTATTCAAGTATATTCAAACAAATCACTAAAATTGATTACACCCAAGGGAAAGCTCAAACTAAAGCATAAATAGTGGAGTTTGAGGATCGACCATTGGGCAGGTTTCCTTTGGCAATCTGTCATTAGTTTCAGCAATTCCAATTCAATTCGGTGATAGTTATTTGAAAAAGGGAAGTGATTCGTACACAACAGTTTTTATCCGTACACAACATTTTATGCTTAACAGAGTTGTACAACACAACAATTTAAAGCACAAATTGTTGTGTATGGAAAAATTTTGTTGTGTACGAATCAGTTCCCTTTGAAAAATATAACACTCTCCTAAACTTCTAATAAATCAAAAGTCATGTTGGTTTTAAATTATGTCTCTTTTGACTCAATTATTAGTCTTCATATGTGCTTCAACTAGATCTTTTAATGTGTTAGTTTGTTTTTTTAAACAAAAATTCATAAAGTTTACGAACCATCTTTATAACTCTATGCAGTAGAAGAGGTAGATTAAACGGTTGCAAACTGTAATAAAATACGTGTTTTTTTTTCACATCTGCGTGGTGTTGCAGATATTAAAAATCTAAAATAAAATGATTTTATAAACCGGAAATAATTTTTTAATACAGAAAATTTAATAATATATAACATTTCATCAATAATTTATGATATTTCAGCAAAAAAAAATAATGATATTTCAACAAAAAATAAAGATATTTTAGCAAAAAATAATATTATTTAATCAATAAATTATTTTTATTATTTAATATAAAAAAATCAACAACAATAAACAAAAAAAAATGTAAAATAAAATTTTAGCAACACATAATCAAGATTTAGCAAGAAAAAAAGAAGAAGAATATGTTGGAAGATGTTGGAAGACAATACATTTGTTGTACCAAACAGAACACGCGCAAATGTTTTTTACTCTGAAAACTTTGAAAAAGTAAACAACTACAAGATTAAAAGTGTTGTGTGTGTACTGCGCCGCACAGCAATAAGATATCTGAAGAAGATTTTTACCAAAAACAAACAGCACCTAAGTGTTCCCCATTATCCCTTCTTATTAAAACAACCACAAATATAAATTATTTTATAGAGGTTTAAAAAAAGACCAAATTAGCTTTCCATATATATATATATATATATATATATATATATATATATATATATATATATATATATATATATATATATATAACATTTTTTCTTTCACCACATTCATTTGAAACTCTCATGACTTTTCAATTTCTTTCTATTAATAATTGTAAGCTGGTTAATAATGTTAAATAAATATCAAACCTAAAGTGTAATCATATATAAACAAAATTTTAATATCAAAATAATATATTTACATCTACTTATAAAGTTATGTTTTTAATTTTTAACATATTATATTTAATTTATTGGTAATAATATATTTTTTGGTGTAAACCATTATCAGTTTAAAAATACAATTTTGGAAATTTTTGTATAAATATATAAATTATTAATTTAAATATAACATTACAGGGTCAACTTAAATATAAATTTGAGTTTAACTTAAACAGCCCAAATAAAATTTTGTAAATTGTTAAAATTGATAAATTGTAGTGTCTTTCTAATAATGATTATAAGTTGGTTAATAATGTTAAATAAATATCAAACCTAAAGTGTAATCATAAATAAACTATGTTTCAATTTTAAAATAATATATTTATTTCTACTTATAAGGTTATGTCTTTAACTTTTAACATATTATACTTAATTTATTAGATTTAAAATGTTTTATGTAAACCATTATCAGTTTAAAACTATAATTTTTGAACAGTTTGGACAAAATACTTATATTTTTAATATAAATATAACATTAAAATTACAATATTTATAAAGAAAGTATTTTTCCTTTCACCGCATTCATTTGAAACTCTCATGCATTTTTCTCTTACATCACATTCATTTGAAACTTTCATTACTTTTCAATTTATTTCTAATAATAATTATAAGTTAGTTAATAAGGTTAATGTGACTTCCCTAAATTCTCGGTTATTTTAAATTTTTTATTTATGCTTATTTGAAAATCAGAGTATTCATTTTAAATAATAATATTGCGGATTTTGTTTCCAGAAAACATGATAAATATATTATCAAAACATTTCCGAATAAATGTATTTTGTTTATATTAAAACTTTGTGATGTCATTGTCAATAAAGAAAGATAAGCATAAACAGACCTTACATTCATTTACATTAGTGATCTACATCTCTTTTAATCTCTCAGTGTAATGTAGCTTCGCATCTATACATTAGTAGCGTTATTTGATAAAATCTAACTAAAAACGGTCAGCGGTTCGTGATCGTCAGGCTCGGGATGCGGAATGCCTTCAGCAAACGAGAGAGAGAGAGAGAGAGAGAGCGATAACTAGATAAAGAGAGAGAGAGAGAGAGAGAGAGAGAGAGAGAGACAAACAAAAGTATTTGGCGTAAGGAAAGAAAGATTCGAACTTGCTATTTGTAGGGTGTTTTGGCTCCCTCACGTCGTGAGAATCAATGCTCACATCGTAAGCCATGGCTGTATCATCTCGTATTGTAATAAATGAAGGTTTTATTGCCACTTATCACACCGTAAGCCATGGCTGTATCATCGTAAGCCATGGCTATATCATCTCGTTGGCTATAAAGTATTTAACATATTCTTTCTATTGTTAAAATGCTTATGTTATTTTTGTTTCATTCCTACAATAGTTTTATGAGAATTTATTTTGTTTGAGACTATTATGCAATGGAAGTAACACCACTAATAAGGGGTCTCAAAGATGCTTATAATTAACAATGTTAGGTATAATAACAATTATGTTATTTTGGTATATTGTGGGATTCGTATAATGGGGCGATGATCAAGTAGTATGGCCTTAACACTACTAAGCATCGGTAGGTGGGTGATCCGGATGTATCGAGCACATGTTTTTGCATGAAAATAATTCCAACTTGTCAAGATATGAGATGCGGATTCTAGATCTGGGGTGGCAGCCGACAGGGAGCATACTGAGTGTAACCCGACCTCCTAAGGCTATGTCATATCTCAACATACTTAAATATTTTTATATATAAAATATGTAAGTATGTCTCTATTATAGGCATTGTACTTTATTTGTTAGTTGTTATGTGTACAAAATGTAAGTATATTGCTATTATGAATAAATAGTTATGTTGCTATAATATGTAAGGAACATATGTGTATTGATACAATGGGTTACATGTTGCTATAAACTACAAAGAAATGTAAGCATGTTGCCACCATGATGAAATAAAAATAAAGTACAATTGCCTATATTGGTAAAAAGAGTAAAGGGAAATGGAAGAACACCTACAAAAACAAAGTCAAAATTCCGAAGCTCATGTCCTCGCTAGGTGTTATGGGCTTGTCTCCACATAGTCCTCAAACTAAGTCAGCCCAAATGAGGAACACATAAGGTAAACTAACAAAGTAAATCAAGTAAGATTGTAAGAAGAACAAGCTAAATGGAAAAGCTAATTATATTACTACTAGTTAATACCCGTGGGAACCACGATTATAAAATAAATTAAATATTTATTGTAATAAATTAGGCAACAGATATTACAAATCAATTGACGTGTTTCATCCATGTAAAATGGAGGAGTGAATTAGTGGAAATGTAATTAATGAGGAAAAACCAAAGACTAACAAGTGATAAATAATTAATTTCAACCTCTAATGATTGACACGTGGCAAACTTGCTACTCTTTTATTAGGCAGGGATATATGAAAATGTTACAAGAGAGAACTACATAAGTAAAGAGATTTATACAAATGAAAGAAACCTATCTATTAAATGAATTGACACTATTCTATATATTTACGATGAAAAATCTACATAAAGCTTGTATAAGATCCTTCCCCCACTTTCTTAATATGCATTCATTCTCATAACCTTTGCAATTTCTTTCTTTTTTTTTTCTTTCAGAATCTTGGGTCACCTTTCATCAGGCTCAATGCACACTATATCACACCCGATTGGTTGCTTTCTACACATAATATGCTTGCAAGAAAGCGTACGTTTCTTTATTACTAAATCTAGAAATCAGGAAAATGGTTTTCCTTATCAAGTCCGAACCTTATATAATTTGTAGATGGAAATGACATTTTATCCTTCTATTTATCCACACTTTAACACTTCATGGAAGAAGAAAAAAACATGGCCTAAATTATACACACATACATAGTTCCGGTTTATAGACAAAATTTAGCGAGGCAATAGCAGTATAATCACCTCATGAAAATTATACAAGAATTGTAAAAAGCGCCTATGAAATCTATAATCTTTGAACGAAAAAAAAAAAAATGGATCTTTAGTTAGCCCTTATATCTTGAAGATAATGAGAGAGTTGCTGGACCCCAATAAACAATGCATCAGCAGCAATAACAACCCCCACCTATGAAGTAGAAATGTTTAGTTTATAAAGTATAGTTGAGTGAAATGTGTTTGGAAAAAGATTGAAATTAAACTTGTTACCAATCGAGCAGAAAACATTAGCTTGTAACCCCAGCCCTCCTTTGCAGCTTGAGCTCTTTGTTGATCAGTCCAACTGCATATATTTATATTTATTCAGAAAACTGGACAAGTATTCCACAATATGATCAAATTCTTGTTTTATAGCATTTATTTAAAAGGAAAAGTTTTTAAAAAATGAGATGATGTTTGATAGTAATTTATACCCAAGAAACTCTGAAACTCCACCAATTCCAGCAAGCTTAAAGGGCTGAGGACCTTCCCTTTCAAGATCCTGCATCAAACAAGACTTAATTACACTACCAAATCATGCTTTTTAGTAAGGAAAAAAAAAACAGGACTAAAGTGTTTATCTTGCTTTGAAATTAAGGATTATAATTTACCTCTTCTTCAGCAGCTTCTAGACCTCCTTGAATCCAGAAAATGTTTGTATAACCAGCATTGTATAGTTGCTCACAGGCAGCTAAAGATCTACAATAATTTAGCAATACGTAAAATATCAGATAAATGGTATAAATAATTATTCTTGCTTAGCATAAATCAAATAAACGGTATAAAACTCCATGACATGAGTTCTAGAAAGACGTTCACCTTAATCCCTTTTGGCATGCGACAATAAGGTCTGTATCTTTTGGGAATTTCTCCATGACTTTTGAAACAAATTGTCTGTTGAAAAGAGAAAATTTTGTAACAAAAAGATTATATTTTTCAAGATTGATTATATATTATTATACATGGTTACAAACAACTCAACACATACTTATCATAAGATAATGTAGGCACGCCACTCCACCAACCTCCTGTTGTCATACAAGAAATATAGGTAATAAGCACCTACAAATAACAAACTTAACCAACTTTCCTCACTAAAATTACTAATTTGCCCATAAACTGATTAGTTGACTAAATGTGATCGTTGACAAAGCTGATTAAATGGGTACCCATCATGTAACTTGTGACCTTCCGTGAAAGAGTTCCAGCATTAAACTGAGTATCGACATCAAAGATTGGGATCCAAGCTGACCCTTTAACCCATGCCTTCAAAACAATCAACAACAAGAAAATAATAATGTTGCTTTTGAAATTTAACTTTAGCTACTTGTATATCATGTGTATATGATGATGATGAAGAATGGATATATCATATATGAACTTTGTTCACCTTTTCATGCTCTGTAGATGGACGAACATCAAGTAAAGTTTTGCCAGAAAGTTGAATGGCGTATCCAGCTTCCTTTGGTGTAAGCATTTTCACTTTCTCTTCCCTTACCTACGATAAACATGTGGGAAAATGAAACAAACACTTTGAGTTGAAGTTAATGGAAGATTAATTAACAAGAGAAGTATTGCACGTTCTTATCACCACCTACCATCGTTGGCTTTGAGAATGTAATAGTAATTCATAAATAGGACCCACAAAAGCTTGAGTATCCAAGAACTCTTATCTAAAATCTTTACACATGTTTTGCATACAAACAGGGGAAGACATTAAGGTATGCATATGAACCCTCAACCTAAATCTTCATACAAAGATGCAATTCTGAATGCGATAACTGACCTACGATGCCAATCTTCCACAAACTATGCAACAACATCATAGTATATAAGAACCCTTAACGAAACTCTTCATACAAATTTCGCAATTTTGAACTAAAAATTTTGTAAGAAGTGAATTCAGTGGAAATACCAGGGCCTCCCATCTCTTCCTGGCTGCAGCCATATCTTTCACTTGCTTTAACTCGTAATCTTCATCGACTGCTTGCGCTTTTATGATCCCCTTGCACTGGAATTTTCAAACAATAGAAATACTCAAGATACAATTTTCATAAGAGCCTGGAAGTTGTAAATTGCGAGAAAATCGATAATGGAGCACAAACATACGCTGGACTTAAACTGAATTTGGTGAAGGGGTTTGTGTTTCAAAGATGACGGGTTGAAGAAATGGGTTTTTCCGAATCGGTGGTTACTGTAATGCTGATAGTTCCTGGGATTAGAGGGCGTTGAGGTGAGAGGTGAAACTGACACACCAAGAACCTCCATCGTTGTGGAAATAAAAAGATAGCAGAGTGAGAATTTGATGATTTATCCGGTGAACCAAATATCTCTAACGGATATGCTAAACCCGGATATGCTGATCTGTTTATTTTCCTGAATTATTTCGACACTTTTTTAGTGTTTTGAAGTCAATTACAAAAATGTCCTGGCAGTTTGATAAACGTTGCAATTTTGCTCCAACTGTTGGAATGTTTTGCACATAATGTCCTCATAGTTTCATTCTGTTGCAGTTTTGATACAACTTTTTGAGTTTTTTTGCACATGCAGTCCTGTTAGTTTCATTTTATGCAGTTTTGGTTCATATAAAGAAATAGTGATTTTATAGTAAGCTAAATACATTAATACAAAGTTGATGGTTATCACTTATGAAAGAAAAAAAAGTTAAAAAATAACTATTTATATCTATTTTGCAATCAATCAACATCATGTGTTACGTGTCAGACGAAGTGATTGCAAAGAAACACACAAAACGTGGTGGAATCGAACTCTCAAGGGGAAAACGTTGCAGATTTTCTCTGATTCTTATGGACTCGTTATATATTTAAATCTGATTCCATTGCCACGTTTCACTCTATTTTCACCTGCAACCACCAACCCTTTCCAGCGCCGCTTCTATTCCACAGTAGGTTACTCAATTCTCTACGGATTATAACAACTTAACATTAATTCTTGTTCAATTAATTCGTACTGCTTTCGGTAACGCCTGTTTGAGTGTTTTCTTCAGTAAATTTGACTTCGTTCGTATGTATATGTGTATATATATATATATATATATATATATATATATATATAGTTGAAGCGAAAATTTCATTTCCAGATCAGTGTCTTTGTGGATGAATTCTATGTAGTTTTGTTGATGTATGCTTTACTGTTTTATCGATCACAATTCTCAATTTCGTGTTTAATTTTGTGTTTATGTGTGTTTTATCAGAACACAAGAGCGAAGACTTTGACTTTTGAATTGACTTTTTAAAAGTAAAACTGCGGTGAATTTGGGTCGAACTGGACACTGTTTCGTTCCTTTTTGTTGAACTTGTTAGGAATTTTAATGCAGTGATCAACGTTTTTAGGAAAGTTCGGTTTTTATATTTCAGTATGCAATTCACTTTTTCTACCGATTACAACAACTTAGACAACGATTCTTCTTCAATTGATTGTCTCCTTTTGTTGCAGTTATCAGTGATACTCAAAATTTGGTGTTTAATTTTGTGTTTTAAGAGTTAATGGGTTGCAAATTTTCAAAGAGGGCTGTTTCAAGGAAGGATTCATCGTATAGCTTGACATCAAATCCATGGGCTTATCCACAATCACTATATCCTCAATCGCCATTTCCTCAACCACCAGTGACCCAATCATATGCTTACCCTTCACCTTATCAAAGCTATCGTGATCAAGCTCCTACAGTTAAGAAGAATCTTGAGAGAAAATACTCCAGAATAGATGATAATTACAACAACTTAGAGCAGGTAACATTATCATTATTTTAACTTAAACTTCTCTCACAGAGGAAAAGGTTATGGCTATTATGGCTTTTTTTTTAAATAAAGTACATTACTATTACCCGTAAAAAAAATTAACTCATTATTTTTACTTTACTCAGGTTACTGATGCTCTAGCACGCGCTGATTTGGAGTCTTCACATTTGATTGTTGGTGTAGATTTTACCAAGAGCAACAAGTGGACAGGTTGAGTTTAATCTTGGACTTTTTCATATATACATTTTTGGAGCTTATTTAGAATAATTTTATTTTTGTAACATCGATTGTTATTAGGTGCAAGGTCTTTTCATCGAAGAAGCTTACATCACCTTGGAATTGATATGAACCCTTATGAAGAAGCAATATCAATAATTGGAAGGACATTAGCTTCCTTTGATGAGGATAATTTAACTCCTTGTTTTGGATTTGGAGATGGTATTAAATAAAAATTTATGGTTAAATTTGTGTGAACTGTTCAAAGTTAATGCTACTTATATGTGATTTTGTGATTTGATAGCTTCAACTCATGATCAAGAGGTGTTTAGTTTCTACCCGGATGCCAAATTTTGTGATGGATTTGAAGATGTTTTGAGACGTTATAGAGAATTAGTTCCTCAATTGCGGCTTGCAGGTTGAAATTACACTTTATTAGTTTTGTATACAATAATTTATATAACTGTAATTAAACACCCCAATTTATGTTTTCTTACATAAAGCTTTCTTGTGAAAATTAAGAGTGGTGAACTTCCTTTCTGCATCCAAACACGACCCACATCATTTGCCCCTATCATTGAAATGGCAATTACCATTGTTGAACAAAGTGGTGGTCCATATCATGTCTTGTTGATCATTGCCGATGGGCAGGTAATCTTGATTAAAAAAGATGCTCATTTTCTAACTTTCAACTATTTGGTTACCACTATTGTGCACCCATCTATATTGCTAAAATGCACCTTTGCATACAGGTCACAAGAAGTGTTGATACTGACCATGGTCAACTAAGTCCACAGGAAAGGAGAACTGTTGATGTTATTGTGAAAGCTAGGTACATTTAAAACAATCCATTTTTTTAGGTTTTCACATATCTTTGACAAGTACTAAACAAACTTATTATTATTTTTTTTTTATAACGAGTATCCATTGTCAATAGTATTAGTTGGGCTGGAGATGGACCATGGGACATAATGAAGGAATTTGACGACAATATTCCTGCTCGGGCTTTTGACAATTTCCAGGCAAGTTTTATTTATTTATATAATACTCCATTTTACAAATATTTCTCTTTTACTTAATGTAAAAAGAATAACTTAATAAATAAAGTTAGTGAAATGAGTGAGTCCTAACTTTTTATAAATTTCTACTCATTTATTTTTTCCTTCCATTTTACCATTCTGAATATTTACTTGTTTTGTCGATTTTTTAGTTTGTAAATTTCACAAAAATTATGTCGATGAACATGGATTCATCTAGGAAGGAAGCAGAGTTTGCTCTTTTAGCCTTGATGGAGATACCTTCACAATATAAAGCAACACTTGAGCTCAACATACTAGGGTGGGTGACTTCTCAAAACTCTTTATCATTTATTCCTATTACATCATTGTACTTCGAAAGTTCTACCCAATTATAGCAACATCATATAAATTCAAAGCAATTATCATTGAGATAATTGATTAGAATTTTTATAGTAGGATGCTATATTTGGGTAGATTTCATATACTATAAATATAATAAACAAATAAATAAAAGTACATTGCTATTTCTTGTACTCTCTCAGTGCTCATAGAGGAAATGCTATAGATAGGATTTTGCTTCCACCACCACGTTATGGTGGACCAAATCATTCACGATCCACTACTTTCCAACCAACTGTCAAAGCAAGAGAAACATCATCAACTCACACAAGTTACCATGGGACTTCTACCTCATATAATAATGTAAGTCAATCTATAAACATACCCGCTTTTCTATTCTTTTAAAAAACAAATAAAACCATTTTCAATTTTTTTAATTAGTTTCCTAAAATATTGTGTTACAACTAATATGAGTATGAAATGTCCTATACTTTTGCAATAAAATCTATGATTAAATACATATAAAGAGAAAAAGAATTTATTGGTGAACTAATTTTACCCAAGATTACACCTTTAAGTTACAAATTCTTTGCAGCTTTGTCCCATCTGTATAACTGCTCGGAAGGACATGGCTTTCGACTGTGGGCATCAGGTACATTTTCCACAAATATATATAAACCTACAAAATAATGAAATACAAATTAATAAACATTTAAGTAAATTAACTCATGATTTCTTTCCTTTTAATATTTTCAGACATGTTGCGAATGTGGCACAGACCTTCAACTTTGCCCTATTTGTAGGAGTCACATACACACCAGAATCAAGCTTTATTAAACACCAGCCACCATATTTTTTGTTCATATTCTTTCTCTCCAATACCCCCCAAAAAAATTGCAAAATCTTAGGGTAAGCTTTTGTTGTGATCTTGTAAATTAGTTGCATAACTTTAGGATGTATCATATGCATTTCTTTAACCAAAATAAATTCATATAATTAATTTCACTCTACAAATACCATACCCTAATCCCTCAAGATTATTATCAATACTCCCATGGGTGGGACACGGGCCTCGTGTAAACCACTAGAATGCTTCATACTTTTTCTTTTACTTTTGAATTGCGTTATATGTAGTAAACGTCCACATGAACTGGGTCAGACCGGGTCCAACCCGACCCGGTCAAAGTCCAATCAACACGGGTGGAATTGGAATCTTCTGATGAACAACACGGGTGTGGTAGCAATGCACATGGCAGTCACTCACCACAATAAAGTTGTTATATTTGATCAAACTAATGCGGGTCCGTCTCAGTACCGTTTACGAAAGTGTAAGGCCCGGGGTGGGTCCCGGGAGTCTTCGTGTTACGCACACTCGGTGGAATATAATATAGTGAAAAACAAAGTGAGGGCCCTACATCTTGCAACAGACACGTGGTGCTCATCGGGCTCGTTTTTGAGTAATGGAACTTTACTGCAAACGGGTGGAAACGGATCCGGGTCGAAAAAGATCCGGTATTATAAACCGTGTCAAAATAACGGATGTGATTGGATGGAATCAAAAAAGGAGATGTTTGTTAGGCGATGGTATGCTTCGAGTTTATCTCTTCCAAAGGAAAACAGTGTTATAGTTGTCGGGGGACAATCGGCGTTTAGTTACGAATTTGTCCCTAAAACTTCGAGTAAACCATATGATCTCCCGTTTTTACATCGTACATTTGAGCGAAATTCAAAAGGGAACAATTTATACCCGATTTTACACTTATCAAACAATGGACATTTATTCATTTTTGCTAATCGGGATTCGATTCTTTTCGATTATAAAAAACGTAAAGTCGTAAAAAACTTCCCAAAAATCCCGGGAAACGGGGCCCGCAGTTACCCGAGCACAGGCTCTTCCGTAATTCTTCCTTTAGACTACAACGACAATTTCGGTAAAGTTGAAGTTATGGTATGCGGTGGTGCAGCCCGTGGGTCCTACACCGCCGCTCAACGGCGGCGTTATCTGACGGGATTGCGTTCTTGTGGAAGAATGGTGATCACCGGAAACCGCCACAAGTGGCGGATGGAGAACATGCCGGGCCCACGGATCATGAGCGACATGTTGGTATTACCGACCGGTGATATCTTGATAATCAACGGTGCAAAACGAGGGTGCGCTGGATGGGGTACCGCATCGGATCCGGCTCTCGAACCGTATCTTTATAAACCGGACAATGGGCCAGGAAAACGGTTTCAAACCTTAAAGAAAACAAAAATCGCACGGTTGTATCATTCGTCAGCAGTGTTGTTACCGGACGGGCGGATCTTGGTGGCCGGAGGGAACCCGAATAACCGGTACATCATGCACGGTGTGACTCACCCGACTGAGCTCCGGCTACAAGCCCTAACCCCGGACTACATGGACCCACAGTTTGATGATCTCCGGCCAAAGGACGTAATGGTCATTTACCCACGAAAAGCCCACGGTGTGGAAAACGGTCGCATTTTTAATGTTACTTTTGGCCTCACGAATGATTCCGGGAATTTGAGTGTGGTGGCATATGCACCACCGTTTACGACACACTCGTTATCGATGAATCAGAGAATGTTGAGACTTGAGTGTTTGGGTTTGGAGAGTGGTGGTGGTCAAGATAGGGTTCAGGCGAGTGTGGTGGCTCCTCCTTCGATTTATGTTGCACCACCGGGATTTTATATGTTGACGGTGGTTAACGGTGGTGTTCCTAGTAGATCTTCGTGGCTTAGGATACTTTAGGTTTGTGGGTAAAATGTCGCTACCCATTTTCCTCTTATTTCAACAGAAACTCATCAAACTTTCTTTTTAATGTTTAAACAAATATTTTGTAGGGGGGTCAGAAGAGTTAAGTGTATTCAAATGTTGCATTATTTTAATTTTTGTGTTATTAAAAAAATGTGAAGATTATATTGATGATTTAGTTATGTCGTCATATTTAATACAACTGTTATTTATAAAAGTTTAAATTACATTTAGATTTTAGTTTATTAAAGATTAAATAAAAGAAAATTCATAACTTTTTTTTTATACAAATAAAAGATGTAATCTAAGCAAACGGCATTGACTTCGTTTGGTCATGCTTAACCAGGTAAATGCCCATTCAAACTCTCCAATTAATATAATACTTTTTTGTTTTAATATTACTATTTTCGGCTGTATTTTTTTTGTCTTATATGAGAAGGTATAAGAATATTAAATAAGTGGTCATGCGTATTTTTTATTATCTTACCTTTACGTATGAATATCAATTTCTATAGGAAGTGGTTTCATAACGAATTAAAAGACTTAAAAAGTAATATATTTTTAGGTTTGTGTATATTTAGTCTTTGATTTTGTTTTTGTCTAAATTTTTCCATTAAACTTGTTAAACTATTCAAAAAAACATCCTTATGACCTACTATCTGAGGATTAGCCGGTTTCTGATGTTTTTGTGAGCTACGGTGAGATTCCGATCATCTTTTCCGACGAGTCTCCTACCAAAAACACTAAAAAAAACATATACATAAACAAAAAACACCTAGATTCATGTGTTTTCCTCAAGAAATTCTTCAACCCTTCAACTCAAATTGAACATTTCCAAGAACAACTAGATTTGAAAAATAAGTTCATCAAAAAAATTTAGATTTGCATGCGAGTGTGTGTTTGTTAGATTTGAACAAAAAAATTCCATTATATATATATATATATATATATATATATATATATATATATATATATATATATATATATATGACTAAAAGTCAGTCTTACCGTTAGTAGGCATCATTTACGAAGCTGGTCTATAAGGGGTGTTTAAGGAAATTGTCTATAATATGGCGATTGAATGGGTATCCACTCTTACCCACCGCACTCTTAACTAGTGGAGAGTGGAGGGTCGTTAGCCGAACGAGTAGGATAGGACGAAACCTTCCATTATAAGTATAATGAATTACTAAAGTAACTAAATGTTTTTCTAATTCCCAATCTTAGTTACTTAGGCAAAAGTGAATTGATGCAATTCCATGAAATTACACTTTGTTCCCTTGCGAAGATGTTAGTGGAGCGTGTGTGGT